ATTGATTAACTTTATTCGTTAATAACTCTTTAAATAATGGTCTGAGCCAAAATTGAAAGAGGAACTTTTAGTTCAAAATTTCATTCTCTTTCACGCCTTCAAATATTAATTAAGCGTTACGGGACACCCTGTATTATTAACCTATAAAAAAAAGTGTCACAACCGATGTATCCACGACTGTACCTACTGGTTATACTGTGGTCGAACAGCGCTGCGTGTAACATAAAAAGAATTTTAATATTGATTTAAAAAAAGCGATCTTCTCCTTTCCGCCGTACAAGTAAATTTTTTTTTTAATTTCCGACGACGGGAGGGATAATACGAGTGTGGCCTAATTCGTATGTTTTTCATATGCAAACGACGTTACTTTAGAAGGCGTATCTCCACAAGGTCGAACGATTATTCTTCGCAGGGGGGGAAGGGCAGGGTGGCGTCTATTTTTTTCTACACACAATCGTCCGCCCAACCCTTCACCCTTTATAATGTACGTGTTAGACGCACGAGTTGCGTTTCGCAGAGCGCGTGCGGCAGCTCGTTCCGCGGGTCATAAATAATCTGGAAACATGAATATCGCAGGACCGGCCACCCCCGCGGGGTCACTCCGAGCGTTTTCTCTTCTCTCTCGTTTTTTTTTCTCTGCTCCGCTACTCTCGCGTGCGTGCATGTTTTCTCGGTAATTAGGAAATTTCTCTTCTCCTCGCCTTCTTCTACCGTCCTGATTCTTTTTTAATTTGTACCCCGTTCGCACTCGCTCGCAAATTTCGTTCTAATTTGCTCACGCAGCTACCCCTCTTTTCTCCCTGTAGGGGGAAAGCTGCAAGTGCGTTGGACGGAAATTGCCACGATTTCAGGATTTTGAAGGTCTCGCTTGAGTTTCCGTCTCCTAAAAATTAAGGAACTATTACCAGTCAAAAAGGAAGATCTTTTTCCCCCTTACCCTTCATATGAATTCGCGTTTCAGATACAATTAAGAAACACTCCAACCACTTTCATTTTGTCGGTTTTTATTTTATTATAATTATCTCTTTATTTTAGCTTGCGTGTGCTCACAAATTTCGCTCTAAATTGCTCATCGTCGAGAAAAATACATATTTCATATGTCGGACGAATCAAGATGATTAATCAATCTGGTCATTTGCAATTATAACTTCGCCCCTTTAAGTAAAATTATCTTCTAAATTGCATATAATTTTTTTTTTACACTATAACACACAGATCATTCGCGCAATTTCAGCATTGCCAAAAGCGCGGTATAAAAAATAAATATCTGCAGGACGATCGCACATTTACGCGGATCTCGGAGGGAGGCGAAAAATTTAGCAGACCTAGCGACCCGTGTCCTAGGATACCCGATACTCCTCGAGGACGAGCAACGACGCGCGCAAATTCTTCCACGAAACTGTCGCCCCAGCATTTTCGCAGGATAGGGACAAAGGTATCCTTAAGCGAGAGGAAACGCACGGTCTGCGCGCGTGTGCGTGTGCGTGTGTACATGACGACGGCAGATAATCGTGCCGCAGATCGCGGATCTGGTGCCGTGCCAGTGGCCCGTGCCGCGTGCGTGCACGCGTGTGCGTGTCGGCCGCGGGATTCCTGTTCCGTGGAAGTAGCTGCATCCGCAGTTAAGATCTCGTGGTATCAGGTTTCCCCGATTCGTATCGTCGACCAGTCTCTGCTCCGTCTCGCCGTCATCCTCGCCGCGATTGCAGTCGGGCACGTTAGAAAGTATCCTGCCATAGTTTCCGACGGGCAATAACATAAAATATCATTATAAACGTGAAAAGTATGAATATGATTTTTAAGTTTCTAGTTAATGCGAAAGAGTTACAGGACTTTAAAAATTTCAAAAAAATAGAAATTTTTTTTTCATTTTCACTAATCATAAAACTTAGTGTTTGAGTATTAAAGTAACATTTTTAATAATATTCTGCATCGGTTTATGGAGGCTAATTTCTACTTTTAATTTTTTTCTTAAATTATATAAACAGGACACAATTTTTTAAAGGAAATGTAATTTTCATGTTTTGTGAAAAATAAATAAATAAATAAGTTTTTTAACATATCTCTCCGTGATTCAAAAATGCCAAGTATAAAGTAAAAAAAATATCTACACTTTTATTTTAGATAATTTACCGAAACTAAAATTTTGGCTATGCAGACTGCAATCATTATTTAAGAGACCATTTATTTATTATTTT